CTGTGAAGCTCAGCTGTGTTCCATACTCAGTGACAAAAAAAAAATTCCCTGCATTTTCTGATTGTAAAGCTTTTAACCTAATACACTACTAAGAGAATATGGATGAAGATCAGGAACAGATTCTCTTTATGTTGAAAGCAATTCATCAAACTATTCTAACAGCTACTGATGAAATAAGAGGTTACAGAAAAGAACAAGATGTCAGCCCAGAGATACGAACTCAAACTTTGACTATAACTAAAAAATTAACTACACAGAATATAACAGAAAAAGTGAAACAATTAAATATTATGACAGAAGATTCAACTGATCAACAAATGCAGTCAATGGAAAATCCAGAAAAAGGAAAAGACTTTCTACACAAATCAGAAGAAACCTGAGGATCAAGAAGAAGAACAGATTGAAGAGAAGATAAACAGTTCAGGACAACCACGTCGAGATGGAAAAATAGAGAGACGATTTGTTAGTCCTCTCAAAAAAATGGCAACTGGATGGTTCTTTCTATGTCAAACAATATACATAACAACACAGGGAGATTTATTTGATGATTCAAAAGCACAGACATGGAAGACGGTTTGGCAAAGAAAGAAAGTTAGAATAAGACTGAAGAAAATTGGGGTTTTGATTTACTAGTGAGAATTAAAATAGAATATACTCAAATAGATAAGATGTGTATTTTGAATACTAGATATTGTTATGAGTGGAGATAAAAAAAACTTTGGTCATTTAAAACTTGGAAATAGATATATTAACAGTTGAATTTGAACATTGATTTGCTTATAAGGGTTAAATGTAAAGGTAATTAAGATATATATAAGCTAAAATTTTATCGATGAATGTAATAAATATGTTCTTATTTAGCGGCAATAAAAAATACTAGCTTAAATATGAGATAGTAGATATTAAGAGAAGAAGAGAGGAAGTTTTAAATCAGGGCTTTTCAACCTTTTCACTGATTGTACCACTTTTAGGATATAGCAAGGTGTCAAAAACTTGATGACAAAAAAAAACCCTGTTCAAAGTTGCAATTGCACTGAAATGACATGACCATTTTTCACACTTATGACCATTGCAGCATGCCCAGGGTCATGTGATTTATATTTGGATGCTTGGCAACTGATTCATATTTATGATGGTCACAGTGTCCCAAGGTCATGTGATCCCCTTTTGCAACCTTTTGACAAGCAAAGTCAATGGCAGGGCTGCTGGTGGCCAAGTGCTAAGGCAGGACTTCCCTCCCTCCATCCCTCCCTCCTTCCTCTGTGCCTCACCTCCAGCCATTGCTGCCTTTTTTCATTCCTCTTGGAAGGCACCCTTCCCCCACTGCATTTCTTGCCTGTTTGCTGCTGCCAGCACAGGTGGCTGCCACAGCAGTTGTACATCGGCTCATAACCGGCCTGCTTGATCTCCTCTTCGCTCGCCCACCCTCCTCCTCCTCCTCCTCCTCCTTCTTTCCCTTTGGTGCAGCTAGAGCTGACTTCACCTCCTCCCAAGGCTGCTGCTTTTTTCTCTCTCTCCCTCTCTCACCCAAACTGCCTCCTTTTATAGCCTCTCCTGTCTCCGCCCCCCCTCCTCCTTTCTCATGGGGGAGGGTGAACCAGAAGTGAGCCTGGGGCCTTTGCCTCGCCCCAGCCACTCTGCAGCTCCAGAGGACTCTCTCACAGTCCTTGCCTGCGCTGGCTCTTTCCCTCCCCCGCTACACTAGGCGGGGTTAGGCAGGGCTGCGTACCACCTGCCACTCGTCAATGTATCACAAGTGGTACACATACCACCGGTTGAAAAGCTCTGTTTTAAATGTTGAAATAAGAGAAATTTTGGTTACTAAATTTAAGATATTTGGAAATTACCAAAAAATAAGAATATTATATTGTATTATTAATTGGTTGATGTAAGATGATGAGAATTCAAATAGATAAGACGTATATCCTGAACACTAGATTTTGTGATGAATTGTGATAAAGGGAATTGGGATTATTTAAAACTTGGAAATTATAAATACTAAACGCTAAATTTAAATATTAATGGGAAACTGAAAATTGGGAAAAACCAATCAGGACATTGATTGTCTAAAAAGATTGAATGTTAAAACAACTAGGATATGTATAAACAAAAATTATTGATAAATGTAAGAAAGTTATTTTTATTTAATCGATATAATAAGAATTGTATTAATTTAAATACGAGACAGTAAATACCAAGGGGAAAAGAGAGGAAATATTTAATGTAACAGTTTGAGATCTGTACTAAAGATATTTGTATGTTATTGAATTATTGACCAACTCAACTGCCACGTTGCTTTTCAAATATTTAAATGTGAAATTAGAAAATCAATAAAAAAAAAAAAAAAAAAAACCCCAAGAGAAAAGTCAAGGAAATGGTCGGTCCACTAAAGAGAGAAGATGGCAAGGGAGTAACAAGCAGTTAAGAGAAAGCAGAGCTGCTTAACTCATTCTTTGCATCAATCTTCACACAAAAAGAAACTAGCCCAACCTACCAAAAACATAACTGTAAAAGACAGATTAGAAATAAAAATTAAAATAAGCAAGGAAATGGTGAGAGAACATCTTGATGAATATAAATCATTGGAACCTGATGGATTATATCCCAGAGTTGTGAAGGAACTGGCAGATACTATCTCAGAACCATTGTACCATATCTTTCAAAAATCCTGGAACACTAGGGAACTACCTGAGGATTGGAAAAGAGTTTCCTTCAAAAAAGGAAAACAAAATAGACCGAGGAAACTACAGACCAATCAGCCTAACATCAGTACCTGGGGAAGACACTGGAAAAGATAATCCAGAAACAGATCTGCAAGCATCTAAAAACCAATAAAGTTATAACCAGAAGCCAGCATGGGTTTGTTAAAAACAGGTCATGCCAAACCAATCTTATTTCATTCTTTGACAAAGTGACTAAATTAGTAGACCAGCGAAATGCTCTGGAGATAGTATACTTAGATTTCAGCAAGGCATTCGACAAAGTAGATCACAGCTTACTTCTTGGTAAGCTAGAAAAGTGTGGGATAGATGACATCACTACCAGATGGATTTGTAACTGGCTGATAAACCGTGCTCAACAAGTAGTCCTAAATGGTACTACATCTACATGGAGGGAAGTAAGCCGTTGGGTACACAAGATTCTGTCTTAGGCCCAGTACTCTTCAATATCTTCATAAATGACTTAGATGAGGGAATAGAAGGGGAACTCATCAAATTTGCAGATGATACTAAGTTGGCAGGAATAGCTAACACCCTAGAATGATAAGCTCAAGATCCAGATGGATCTCGACAGACTTGACCACTGGGCTCTATCTAACAAAATGAAATTCAACAGAAAGTAAAGTCTTATACTTAGGCAAGAAAAACCAAAAGTACACATACAGATTAGATGAAACCTGGGTTAAGCAGTAACTGTGAGAGGGATTTTGGAGTTCTAGTGGACAATCAATTAAATATGAGCCAGCAGTGTGCAGCAGCAGCCAAAAAAGCATTAACTGAGGGATTGAATCAAGATCATGTGAGGTACTAGTGCTGCTCTATAAAGCCTTAGTAAGTCTACACCTAGAATACTATATCCAGTTTTGGTCACCACAATATAAAAAAGATGTTGAGACTCTAGAAAGTGCAGAGAAGAGTAACAAAAGTGATTAGGGGCCTGTAGACTAAAACATATGAAGAACGGTTGCAAGAACTGGGCATGGCTAGTCTAATGAAGAGAAGGATCAAGGGTGACATGATAGTAGTGTTCCAATATTTGAAGGGCTGTCACAGAGAGGAGGGGGACAACTTATTTTCCAAAGCACCTGAAGGCCACGCAAGGAACAATGGATGGAAACTGATCAAGGAGAGATTTAACCTAGAAATGAGAAATTTTCTGACGGTGAGAACAATCAACCAATGGAACAGCTTGCTTGCAGAAGTTGTGGGTGCTTCATCACTGGAGGCTTTCAAGAAGAGACTGGACAGCCACTTGTCAGAAATGGTATAGGCTTTTCTGCTTGAGCAGGGGGTTGGACAAGATGATCTACAAGGTCCCTTCTAACTCTGTTATTCTGTTATCATTCATTCATTGATTCTTTTTTTCTTCTTGTTTTTCCACACACATTCATCCTGCATTCAGCTGAGTTTTGTGTTTCTCTTGATATACAAATAGTCCCTAAGTTACAGCTGTTTATTCAGCCACTATTCAAAATTACAATAATGCTGAATGAATGGCACTTAGAACCAGTCCTTGGATTTCTAATCCTCACAGCATCCCCACAGTCAAGTGATTGTGATCTGGTACTTGATGCCCAGCTCACAATTACAATATCATAGTCAGCCATGATCATGCGATCATGATTTCCAGTGTTCCCTGCAGGCTTCCCACAAGTAATGTCATTGGGGAAACTGGCAGGAAGTTGGAGACTGCCATCATGCAGGATTATTGCTTATTAACTTGTGTGTCCTCACTTAACAGTGGTATCTGGGACTGCCAGAATAATTGCCGCTAAGTGATGCAGTCTTGTGATATGGTTTACAACCACATTGCTTAGCAATGGAAATTCCAGCTCCAAATGCTATTGTAACTTGTGGACTATTTGAACTCAATTCTCATTTCCACTTTACAAAGTGGGTGAAGTGCACACTTTGTACTTTTTGCTTCTCCCAGCAACAACAAATCTTTCTATTGGTATTAGCATATCTTAAAATTTCTCTGTATATTTTTCCATTTCCCCTTTAATTTTCAGATCCTTATTCTTCATGGTATATACTGTAAAATATTCACTCAAACACTTAGATTCTGAACCAATCATAGAGGTCATCTGCATAGAAAAATGCACAGACAATATCATTCCAATATCAATATGCAGCTAATGTCATTACAGGCAAATCCAAAATTATCTATATTTAGTAAATACTTTAGAATATTTCTCTTACTCTTATTTCATGATGTTGATATTTTCTCTCATTTAATTAGATGGGTAATTGTTTTGTTGTCATGCATTTGTACTTTAGAAATGTATACAAAGATCTGCGTCAGATTGAACTTGCCTGCGATTCTCAGGAAGATGTGGATAGCTGGAAGGCCTCCTTCCTTCGTGCTGGTGTTTATCCTGAGAAAGACCAAGTAAATATTGCTCAGATTTTCAGTTGAAAGGGAGGGAGGGAGGGAATTGCTAAAGAATTTCCTGTCAATTGTTACCGTTGTCTGGAAGTGCCTTATACCTAAAATCAAGAGTAGGCAATCTTTTTCATGCTGAGGGACACAATACAACAAGCTTACAGAGAGGGTGCAGTGCTATTGCTAAAGATGTTGAGAGGTTGGCCATTTTCAACCAACTTGTGTTTTTGAAAATTATGAAGGTGTTTTAAGATAAGGATTAGATACATTTTTCTTCACAGAAGCCCATTTTTCCTGTCTTTATTCTGTCATTTTCATGCCAAATTATGCAATTTTGAAAATCTGAAACATTAGATTTCAGTAACAATATCTTAAGTGATTTAAGTGCTCTCAGGAGGAGTCGGATACAGGCAGTCCTTGATTAACTACCCTAGTAGGGATCGGAATTTGCATCTCTAAGTGAAGCAGTTGTTAGGCAAAATATCATGTGACTGCACCACTTAGTGATGGCAGTTCCTGTATGATTGTTAAATGAGGATTGCATCTATTGTTAGGCAAGAACTTCATCTTCTCTGCCCTGCCAGCTTGCTTATGCTTCAGCCCCCCCACCCCACCCGCCTATCTCCCACCCCATTTGGCCACCCTGCACTTTGCTGTCCCTAGCTGACTTTTGCCATCTTCTTCCTCCAGCTGCTGACTAGGCATGCTGGGCTGAGGCAACTACTAGCTCTTCATGTGGCCTCATGAAGAGCCAACCAGGTTACTTTTTGCGTTTTGCAGTTGCTAAACTACTGATTTGTAGTCAGTATTCAAGAGTCAAAAATAATGACAAAGCAATATTCTTTTAAGACACTCCAGATATCCAGTCTTTATTGTCAGAAAAAAATAAATGAAATGTGAAGCATACATAGTTAACTTTTATTTTTCATATTCTTTCATAGTGTAGGAATCAAGGAGATAATCAGCTTGGGTTTGATGTATTCAGCATCATTTGCATGTATAAGAATTGTGTAGTTTTTCTAAACCTATATAGTCCCCTGCTGCTTTCTAATAATTTATAGACATTTTTTCATTTTATTAAATATTCTACTTATCTAGGTGAAGGTGAATGAGTAGACAAGATATAGCTTTTGCAAGAAAGGGTTATCTTGTAGAAAATGAATTTACAATAAGAGAATACATTTTAAGAGGAATAATAAGATGCAAAAGAAGTTAACTTTATGCAACAAGAAGATAAAGAATAATATTTGTACATTATCAGTTTTGTGCATTAGCGTAGTCTGCCATCTTAATTAGCCTTTCTGTAAGTTGTGCTGCAGACCTAAGCTCTTTTGAAAGAACTGTAGTTCTGATTCTGCTGTTAGATATTTTATATTGTAACAGTGTCCATTTTTCCTATACACAGGTAGAAAATGAAGATGGAGCTCAGGAAAATACCTTTTCCATGGATCCTCAACTGGAACGCCAAGTAGAAACTATCCGCAATCTTGTTGATTCATATGTTGGGATCATCAACAAATCTATCCGAGATCTTATGCCAAAGACAATAATGCACCTAATGATAAATAATGTAAGTATGGATTGATAATTTATTTTGCCAGGGTGGCAGAGGGATGAAACTAGATGTTATTCTGAGGCCAAAGAGATCATCCCTCATTCTCAAAATGGCAATTGTAAACCCCATAAATTATTAGTTTTTAAATAATAAAAGTTTCTGTTCCCTTCTGCAATCCTGATATTCTTGCAAGAGATTTAAGAGGAAAAGATATTGTAATGATTTGCCTTAGAATTTATACTTGAAGAGTATAAATTGGTGAAATGCTTTGCATTAAATAATAACTTCTGGTAATTAAGGAGACAGTATTGTAGAAGTAATGTGCAGGAGCAACATTTTTTATGGATTTTCTGTGGCACTTGGCTAAGATCATTTTACGGGGCCATATCTCTGGCACATTGCCTGAAAGATGCTTTAGGTTGATCAAATCAAATTGGAATCAATACATCAAAAGAGAATCCACATTGACTTAGGTTGGTACCAAATAATTTTTTGCAGGAAATCTGGAATTTATCTTGAGTAAACAAACAGACAACTTGGATTGAAAATTAATTTGAGCCAGTAGCCATCTTCTGCTGTTTGGGCACAAGTTTTAATTAAAACTATTCCAGCTTCACTCAGAGGAACACAGTGAGGAATCAGATTCCTTATAAAGTTTGATTATACCACTTATAATGGGTCTAGATTCTTACATGCACATATTGAAACTCATAGGACAGCTGTGATACTTCTTTGGCCTCAAATACTTTCAGTCCACCATGTATATAATTATCTCCCATTGTGTAAAAAATATTGGCAGCTATACTTAACTTGATTTTCCAACAAAAATTGCTCCACATTGTCAGGCACTCTGCTAAGAGACCAAAAATATAGGTTGTTTTTTTTTTAATGCAACCCTTTGCCATTAAAAGGTTGTCTGTTCCTGTTTTAAGCTTTAATTTGTTTTTTTTTATTTAATGTATTATGTGAATTCAGCCATTATGGTCTTTGTGTTTTCTAAACATAGTTATATGGACTCAAACAACTATATGATCTATGGAAATCTTTCCATAATGCAGTAAGTTGAGGCCAGAGCAGTCTTCTTCTGAATCATTGAGTGCAGCATCCCATCTGGGGGAAGTGACCTTTCCTCTCACTATTTCCAATGAATAGATAGCTAGGGTTGTGATCTAAACCAGCCTCTTGAAGTTACTCCACTTTTGATCTATCCAACCCAGACTATTGGAAAGCATTACATTTTCTATGCACCCAATATTACCTATCCCTCACAGACCAAGGATTTCATCCACTCGGAACTGCTGGCATACTTATACTCCTCTGCAGACCAAAACAGCTTGATGGAGGAGTCAGCAGACCAGGCACAGCGCAGGGATGACATGTTGCGAATGTACCATGCCCTGAAGGAAGCTTTGAATATAATTGGAGACATCACTACCAGTACAGTTTCCACCCCAGTTCCTCCTCCTGTGGATGATATGTGGCTGCAGGCAGGAAGCGGTGGGCATAGGTAAGTTGGTATATTAGTTAATTGGTTCTATTATGCTATTTGTTAAGAGGAAGGATGAAAATATTGGATGTCACAAAGCCAAAAGCCACAAATGACTGTCACAACTGAATGGGATTGGTCCATATTCTTGACTTGGCACTCTATAGTTGATTCATTCCTTCTAGAATGAATGTGTATTTGTTAGTCAGCTTCTAATTCTGTCATAATTTTGTTCATCAAAATTTTCAAATCAGATTTTTTTGTATAGTGGGTATTTTTTACCTAAAAGAATATTCTTGTATTGCTTTTGAAATAAACTCTTTACATATTGTTGTTGGCTGGTTTGTCTGAAAATGATTGATATTATTTGGAGTTCTGTTATCTTAAATTATATAACTTGTTCTATTTTAATGGGTCTTTTTTCTTTTCTTTACAGCCCAACATCTCAGCGCAGGCCTCCTTCTACTGCATTGCCCCCAGGAAGACCTCCAGCTGTGAGGGGCCCCATGCCTGGCCCTCCCTTGATTCCAGTGCCAGCAGCAGGTTCATCCTCTTTTGTGGCACCACCCATTCCTTCACGCCCTGTACCACAAAGTGCATTTATTACTAATAATGACCCTTTCTCAGCACCACCTCAAATTCCTTCACGGCCGGCACGTATTCCACCTGGTATACCTCCAGGTGTACCCAGGTAAGGGCCAATTCAGATTTCCCTCAGCTATTTTTTTAATTTGACCTGGACTATGGCATAATTCTGTGTCTTATGAAATAGTCACAGTTTTTGTCCCTGTATAAACTTATTAATTTTGAATAGATATAGAAGATACTTATTTAGATACTCTCTAAAAAATTAGAAACTAGCTTATGCAGAATCTTGGCATGGTGCAGCTTTTTTAGTGGTTGAAAGATCTGTGGGAAAAATTAGGTGTAAACTTTAAGAGCCTCCTTTCACATCCAGGGAGGTAATTTTTGTCAAACTTTTTTCCCAAAAATTGAAATGAAGGAGAAGGGAGGAAATGATTTTAGGCTGTCCAGAAGATAAGCAATAGTTCTATAACATTTGCACATAGCATAGGCATTCAGAAGAAGCAGGAAAATGGGCAGGAAGGCACTTATATCTTGGCAATGTCTGTCTAATTTCCACCTTCTATTTCTCTATTCATTTTCTCTGCAGCAGAAGACCCCCTGCAGCACCGAACCGGCCCACCATTATCAGACCAACTGAGCCCTCCTTGTTAGATTAACCATGATCACTATCCAGAGGGGAAGGCAATATTGCTTGTTAACTATGTTATGGAGAGAACTCATGCTTAATCTTTAGTGTAAAGAAGCTCTTTGTAACTGGTCAGTTATAACCAAGGCCCATTTTTCCCATTTCTCCTCCTCCCTTTTCCTTCCCACAGTAACACAACCATAGCCACAGACATCAAAGAATAGATGCTGTTGGTTGATTACCTATAAATAGCTCTGAGAAGCCAAGCATTCCTGTTCTATTTCTCTCTCTGTCCTTGGATCTTGGCTAGGAAAGGATTTGATGACCAGGGTCTTCCATTCTGGGAAGAGGGGGATTGATTTCTTCCTGGTTTTTCATGGTGGCCATACCAGGCCCATTCCACATGGGAACATGGAAGATTATGTTTTGTGGAATTGTTTTGCACTTTGTTGGAAATAGAGAAACAACCCCCTACTTGAGTGATTGTGACGAGAGTACCTACAAATGTGTAAAACTAGAGAGATTGTATTTCCACTAACACTTGTTAGAATTTCCTGCTATTAATGTTGATTGGATCTATTTTCCCTGCCACCCTTTAATTCCTTTGTTATAATATATATGAAATCTTCCTCTTAGACTTTTACCTTCTCACCATGGCATTTTAGTATAACATTGATCAATTTATTTCTATATAGCTCTGAAAAATAATGAAACTGCAAATAAAAAATGGCTAATAAATCCAATTTATAAAACTGGAGCAATATTTTATCAAACAGAATAATTGGAAAGTAGAATGCACCAAGTTGTTTTTGAGTCTCAGGTATAGTGCTGACTTTTATGCCATGCTATCCTTTGCACAACCACTGATTATACAGTACTTCAATGGAAGTGGCAAACTTAGATTGCCAGGTACAACCTGGGATGAACTTGATGTAATACTAGAAAAGACCAATGGCTAAATGCAGGGGATGATTTAATCATTTTCATATAAAATTGGCCAGGATAAATTAGTCAACCTCCAATAGAGAAGTGGTAGGAAGAGGCAGTACTTAAAAAAACTGTGATCTTTTGCAGAGATTACTACTATAGAGACTTTCTTATTTTCTTATGCAGATTTCTTTGTCCTTCAGTTCAACTGAACTATATTTGCTTCTAGATTGAGGCAGATTCTTTATGGCAAACACTATTCCAAGATAGATTAAAGTTCTCTCTGCCCCACAGGAACTAATATAGGAGTCTATGTTCTCTGAAAAGCTTTTTTTATGTTGGCTACTCCATCTTTAGAACCATTATTATTCCAAGAGTTTGTGGAGCAAAACTGGAGACTCATAAAGTAATCTGCCCTCTCTGGGCTGTGATTGTATATACTTCTTCATAAATCAGACTGTATTGGTACTTCTTTGATTCTAGTATTTTTTAAAAGAAGACCCAAGTTGCCCCCAGCCTGCTCTCACTTACATAAATGTATCAGGGATATCTGTGCCCTTCCTGATAAGATAAGATATATGGAACAGATACCATCTGCCTTAATGCTTCCTTCCAGTGACCTCTCTCTTTTTATGTGATCTGAAACAGAAATTGCTTGCCTCATGTCTTAATTCCAGAGTGCTAACTTTGTGCCTTTATTATTGCTTAAATTCTATGTCATTTGCTCGAATAACCAGCACTGCCTTTCTGTAAATGTCCCTCTATTGCCAAAGTCATTACCAAGGGCTTTGAACCTCTTTTGCAATATATTTCTCCAAAAACAAGTGCTTGCCATGTAGCATGGACTTCTCTGTTTTGTTGTCTCTTGATTCTTTGTTACCATGTGTGAAGGGGTTATTATATCTTCTCTCCATCTTTAAAATAAAAAAGCTCCCAGCAGTTTGAGATAAGTGCCTCCATTATGTATCCAATTAATAAACTAAAATAAAGGGAAATTCTGCTGGTGGAAGGTCTCTACCAATTTGTGGTGTTGACTTTTTATGCATTTTTTATTCTATTAGTTCTGAACATATCTTTACTTAAGAACTATTGGGCTTCGAATGAATAGAAAAATGTAAGTTCATGTTTCTATTAACTAACATGTCCAAATAGCAATAGTCTGAGTAATAACTGATTTCTTGAGCCACTTGATATTATTTCTGACTTGGAGGTTAGTAGTATCCAATCTAGTAAAAGCAACTGAATTTACAAATTTCAAAATTAATGGCATTAATGCAGCTAACATCTTTATCCTACCTTTTTTATGGATGTTTACAAGTATTCATCATCTCACAATTAAAAGTGTACTTTAAAAGTGCTTTTTGTAGGATCAAGTGGGACAAATAGAACTGGTCCACCTTGCATTGCAGAACTTGACCTGTCTCTGTAGCAGGAAGACCATTTAATATTGAGAGGCATTAGTTGCTTCTCTCAAAGGAGATTGCCATTTAGTTTTGCAGACATAGGAGACCTTTCAACATGTAGCAATAAATTAATTCAATTGCTCATACAGAAGGATACATAAAATATCTTTAGGTTACCTAGCTTTATGGTTATAGTTTCATATATTTTATGCCTATAATAATCATGAAAAATAGCAGATTTCAGACACATATTTTCTAATTTTTAGTAACATTCTAATTATGATGTTAAATTTAACCTTTACAAATACATAAAGTGAACAGAGTAACAGGGAAAGAAAGGTTTTCCAATCCAATCTTATATCCCAAATTAATACATTTTGCCCAATATGTCATTGTTATTTCTTCATGCATTTTTTACTAAAGTATTTCAGCCCTTACACACTTTTCATTGTATTATGTCTGTGTATATCATTGTCCCAACCTGTTAAATGTCACATCCAATGACATGTTGTTATGAATGTTTTAGATTTCATTTTGATGGCAATTTACATCTTTGCTTTTTAAAATGTAGGTTTTTCTTATGCTTAAAATGTGTAATACATACAAGTCCTGGAATAAAACACTGACTTCCACCCATGACTAATTAGTTTAATAGATAATAGGTCTCCTTAAGGGTAACCTTGGTTAATCCATACATTAGTTATGATTAATAATTTCTCCTTCCCCAAATACTTCTAACATTGTTGCAGGTCTTTCCAAAATATACATAAAATTGGACCTGTCAATTACATCTCTAACCATTTGTGTTATAATTGGAATGTTTACTTGATTATTTAAACTGATGTAAAAAAAAATTAAATGGTTGTTCCCAGTTATTTGGACAAGAGATTTTAAAGTGTTCATTTTCAACACTTCTAAAAACAGGCTACTTTGTATATTTTACTCTTTATTTGAGAGTTAAAAGGAAGCATTCTAAAATGAAATTGCATTATTTAAAAACTGAAAATTAAATCCAGTAATACAATATTTTGCAGTGCTTTTCTTTAAAATGTCTAGACTGAAATGCAGTTTAAACTTTTTAAAAAGTATCTGTTGGACTTGTCCCAACTTGGTCATTTAGAAAGAAAGAGCCTTTTGATTGCATTCGTAGTGAAAGGATACTTTTACTAAAGCCATGTGGTTACAAGATAGGAAAAAGCCAGATCTGAAGTTTGCATGTGAAAACTGCCTACTTAATTTCCTCTTTCCCAGGCCTTCACCCCACCCATTATCTCCCTAGTATCCAATTGTATTTAAATAAATTGTTCTGGTAACAGTTCTGCTGTTTGGCGGGCTTGGTGATGGATCACATTCCATTCCCATGCTTGTTGCCTTAGGGTTGGCCAGCTGCTGTCTCTGACAGGCACTCGGAGTAGTTTCAGTTTCTGGTCTTCTCAATTCAATTCAATTTCAATTTATTTGATTTATATACCGCCCTTCTCCCTTGCGGGACTCAGGGCGGTGAACAGGCACATTAATAAAACAGCGATACCATAATATTTTAAAATATTAAAAGCTAATTAAATTATTTGTCCTGTCCTAAAACCCACTATACTAATATAAAATTAGACCCAATTTAAAATTTTAAAATTTCGGATTTATGCCAGACCGGCCTCTTGGAACAGATAGGTCTTTAGGGCTCAGCGGAAGAGGCGTATGTCCCCCATTGTACGGAGGTCAGGGGGCAGCTCATTCCATAGGGTAGGAGCTGCCACAGAGAAGGCTCTCCCCCTGGGGGTCACCAGCCGGCATTGTCCGGCCGACGGCACCCTGAGGAGGCCTAATCTGTGGGAG